CCCAAGTACAGTGTTTCCACATGGAAGAAATAAATACACAAACCCCATGGGATAATTACCTAAAGCAAGGCTGGGGGGAGAAACAAAGATTTTAAAACAAATTTGTTTTTTAATACAGAATACCTGTGATCCCAGAGATGCACTATGAAAGGATGCAACAGGCTCAAGTAGGTACCACACATTGCTGCTGGATATTCAGCAGAAAAATTATTAACACAGATGTAAAGTTCTAACTGTTTTATTTCAGAAATATGCAGCCGTTTGCAATACTCAAGAAGGAAAATGGGTGAACACGAATCTTACACAGTGAGGAATGAACCTGGCCTTACAGTCACAGACAGAAAGGAAGTGAGAAGGTATTTTTCTTTCTGCAAGGAAAAGCCAATTCCTCATGTTTAGCAGACAGCATGTTTCCAGGGCCAGCTTAAATTTCTACTCTGTCTAAGGAAGTATGGTTGCTCCCTTGGCTTGTGACAGAGACTAACAGCACTTACATATACAGAATATGTAAGACTGCATCGTGTATATACATACATGATACCTATGTGAATATGTGTATCTTTGATGTATGTGTATGATGTATCTTCGTCTATGGTGAAACACCTACAATAAAAGCACAGTCTCCCCATGCTCTTTCTAAAAATTGAGAGACCGGCTGAATGGCCTCTGGAGCCACTTCTGTGTCTTCATTATTGACTACAAAAGAGCTGAAAAAACTGAATTTCTTAGCCAAGGGACTGGAGCTGCGTGAGGTCCCTTCAAGCCAAAGGCTTTTACAGGTGAGATAGCACATGTTAAAGATCAGCAAGAGCCCCTGAACCCGTTTCTCTTTAGGATTCCACAATTTCCAAGTGACATCTTCCTCCAAAAGCCTTTTTCCTCCTCCTGCCATGAGATCATTTAAGCAGCTTATCAGGATCAGAACAACCTTTCTTCTCCATCAGCTCTCATGTGAAGGCACACTGAGGGAAATGACACATGGAGCTACATTCCCTTCTCTGCCATAGGATTTTACTATTTATCCAAAACTCTTTTATCTATTAGCCAAAATTAGGCCATTTAAGAAGAGTTTTCCCAAGGTTACAGACACCTGAGACTAGAGCAAACCATGGCTTAGGTTAACTGCCAAAATGCCCCTATACATGCAGAAAGCAGAACGTCAGGTAGAGTTATACAGGTCCAACCTAACCCTGGCCAATACTCGTGAACATCATGGGCATCTGAACATCTGCTGACTTTAGTCACAGGCCTGCTTTGCACTGCTAGAAAAGTCTGAGAGAGGCTTTCATCAGGACAGGCTTGTCCTGGCACCTGATCCACTATCTCCAACCCTGGTGTTTGTGGCCCTTTTCCTCCAAGGACACCAAACTGCCCATTTTCCCATCATTTCAGTCCTTCATGTTTCTAGGGAAGAGTGAGCTTAGTGGCTGGAAAAACACCATAGTTCACAAGACGGCTCAGAAGCAGGATAATTGAACCCAGATTTACCATCCAGGGTTACAGCACGGTCCATCCAAACTGACATCCTGCCTCTGGCAGGGGCCAGAAACAGGTTGCTCAGGGGAAGCACCTACACTGAGCAGCCAGGGTGCAGACCCACACATTGCAAGGGCAATGCTTGACAACAGAAAGCTACAGAAAATTGTATTCTGCTGCTCAAGCAACATGGGACTAACCCTTACTATGACAAAAATAGAAAAGCAAGCAATTATTTTGGAAGCTGGTGTAGCTTTGCAGTTTGTTGTCCATACAGGCTGAAGCTGAACTGGCAATTCTTGTGCAGCTGCTGTTTTCTCTTAAACATCTGTGTTCAATTATTTCTCAAAGCTTGGCCTCTCCCTTGTTTGGATACTCTTCTGTTAGTCTGGTTATCTGGAATAAACCTCTAGGAAAAAACTGAGCAGAGGGCCAGAACAGATAGCCAGAGAAACATTATTTAAAAGATTAACAGGTAAATTCTAATGAATCTTAGCTATCAGTATCACACTCAACTTCATATTCTCTTGACTTTCAGAGTTCTCCTGCTGTTTCTATTTCTGTACCTCCTCCACTAGATACCATCGCACACACTTTCGCCCGACTACAGCAGAACATCCCATGCAATTCGTGACAAATCTTGTTCTGTTTTCAGCAGGAGCAGCAGCTTTGAAAGTCTTGGTTTTTTTCTCTTTGCTTACAATCTTAGGTGATCAAGCTTCCCTGTCAAAGGGGCCCAACACTGACACAAACCAGGGATTTTTGGGTGTGGTGTACATCTGGAGGCCACAGTGCATGATGACCCATGCACTGAACTAACCAGAAATCCCCCACTCTCCATGGAAACTTCTTATAAATGCTGTTTCTTTATAACATTTCTGTTCATAAAAATACTATTGCTTTGAGTAAAACCTTGCTCTACCCAGAAGTTTCTATGAAGAGTTTAATCTCACTTATTTCCATAATAGTTAACCATTGACAATTTCAGCAGAACAGAACCACACCACCTCAAAGGTAGCTGATGCTGCTGCACCTATACTGCACTAGGGAACTGGATTGTTTTCATTTTACTGGTTACTTTGGTGACCTGAACAAGGTCACCTAACACTGAGTTCTAACCCTGGAAAATAAAAGCATTTACCTGGCAAAAGCAGGTTATAAGGAGATTATTCTTCTCAGGATATCTGCAAATTTCAGGCTGACAGCAACATGACTTCTGTATAGTTCTCCTAGGACCTCCAGTGACAAGTCTCATAAGGTTTTTGTTTGGTTGGTTTTTTGCATGTTCTGGGCTGAAGGATGTGTTGCATCTTTACTGCTGGGAAGGAACAGTCCTGCAACAGCTTAGGTTGCTTCACTAAGGTTTAAGAGAATGCTGGGCATGGTAGAAGCCCCAGAGAGGAGCAACCCAGCTGCATCACTACTTTTTGTTAGCTCCCAGCCTCCTCCCCAGCCCATTCAAACAGGGATCCCATTCTGCTCCACAGCCTTTCAGTACCTAAAAAAAAAATCTGGCTCCCACATCTCCATATTTTAGCTGAGAATAAAACATGGACACAGTTCTGTTTGTCTCTGAACACATGCCTGCATGCAGGCCCCAGGCAAAGCTACCACCCTAATGTGTTGAGCTCCATCTTTAAGCTACTTCTTACATTCATCTTAAGTACAAAACTCTTACTTTTTTATGTCTGCAAAACACATGGCTGCACTTCAAACTTACATCAGCCTTACAAGGAGCAAGAGGCATTTATGTTCGTACATTTGTGGTAGACTACAGTTTTTGAATGGACACTGGAAGAAGGTGGTTTTTTAAAAATAAATAAAAATCAAGTATCTGCTCCTCAAAACAGAAGACACTTCATGCATCAGTGAGGTTATTCCACAGGTAAAATCTGAACCTACAGCTCGGGCTGTTTCACTCAAATATTAGCCATCAAAATCAATGCCTCCAGGATTTCACGCACGAACACAAAATACATCTATAAAACAGACCTATAAAGCTCTCCTGTGAGCCAGGATAGCTCACAGATGCGTTTGAACAATAATTTATTAACTTGATCTTTTTGATCCAAATATACTGAAGTCAAACTCTGTATTTAATGCACTAAAATACAGCAGCAGCTCAAGGTTATACTGCATATTTTTTTTAAAACCATGTTAAAAGTTACTTGACCCAGGAAAATGTAAGCATTTAAAACCAGAAAGATTCACTGTTCGTCAGCTATTTCAGTGTCTCCCAACAGCAAGTCATTGAAACAAAAAGGCAACTAGCAGTTCTCCAAAAAGTTTTACTTCCAACAGGAGAATGCGTATTTACTAGAGAAAAAAAACAAGAATACAACAATAATGTTACAAGAGGCACTGATCCTGGCTTTATTCACTTAAAGATACATCCAACATTTGTTATAGCTCACTTGAAATCCAAAATGCTTTTAAGAAACCAACCATAAAACCTTATTTTTGCCTTACAGTGCTGTCAAGTTTTCAAATAGCAAGTTAGTGACTTTCCAGCAAGACTGCGTTCTGCATTAACATACATACAAAGATTAAAACTTGTTATGAACCCTTCAGTTTCTGACATTTGATGAATTGCATTCAGAATGACCACCATTTTCTCTGGGGAGGCTACTCTGCTTACCTGCATGGATGGGTGCCCTGGGTCCTGAGCCACTACACCTTACCCTGACTCTGTGCCATTCTGGTGATTCAACAAGAACTATCCCCCCCTCACCGTGCTCCAGAGGGATTTCACTCCCCCTTTGTACTTGGCAGATGTAACAAAATTTTTTACAGCACTAGAAAAACTAGTTAGGACAGCACTATGCATGTCCCCTAGAGGTTACTGATACTGACTGCTAGCAGAGAGAGTGCACGTTATGATCAAGAAGCATAATGTGTTAATTTGGAACTCAAACTACTTGGCAGGATCTTCTGTAAATTCAAGATTTATATAAGACACCGTGCTGCAGCCATCATATAATGACATTACACATATCCTTTATTTTTTTTTTCCTCTCCTCTTTTTGCCGCATTTAGTTAGATACTTTTTAAAGTGGTGAAGAGTGCAGGACTTTTAGAAATAGAAAATTTCTCTATTAGAAATTGCAAAATTCAGTATTATGACACTATGAAAGCTTACAGTACAATTTATCAAACCTATGTTAAAACTCAGCATCCATATGGTGTCTGAACTATCTGAGCTACATTCTGCCTAATTAAGCAGTATCAACGTGACCTGATGTCACTTTCTGTGTAGAATACATTCCCATATTAACATGGCTATAAGAGCCTGAGTAGTTCTCATGTTGGTATATTATCCCCATGACCTTGTGACTGGTTTCTCTGTTTAATGATAGCCTAAATAAAAATAAGCTTGTTATGTAAAAGCAAAATAACCTTTTTCTTAAATTTTATTCTGGGTCTTGGACATAGTTCAGTGACATGATCTGCAGAATAACATGCCAACCATTCCCATCAGCTATTTAAAAAAGAGAAAACTGAAGGAATAAGCCAAATCGAAGACACTCACTGTTATAGTATCTTTAATTTATCTCGTGTTTTACAGAAGTCTGAATGGATTAAAAAGCACCTCCTTTCCCACCATGTTCCTTACAGTTGGTAAAATATATTCAATGAGCAAACGTATGTGAACAGCTTGAGGATCTGCATCTTGCAAGGATTTCACAGACCAATCAATCAAAAGCCAAATTTCTTGTTGTTTTTACAATCTTGTTTTAATACAATGGTAAATCCACTCCGATTGTAAACCTGTCCAGTCATATCTCCCCAGAACACTTTGCAAAATCCAGTGTTGATTAGCAAACTAGTTAGCTTTGGCACGGAGCTGTGCTCTCTTGCCTGTGACAGCCTGGAAACCAGTTTTGATGCTGGCGACGGAGCAGCGAGAGTGGCAGGTCTCACACTGCAAGAAATATAATCTGGTGTCCTTCTGTAGGATTGTGTCTGGTGACCGACACGTATGACAGGTGACATACTCCTCTGCAGAAAAGAAATTAAGTCGCACTTAAAAGATAATGCATTATCAGCTGATAAGACACCACTTCTTCAGCCTTCAGTTTAACAGTTGCCTTGAAAGGTTGTTCAAATGCATCTAACAACTCAGAAGTGGCTTACCATGAAAAACAGAGGTTGACACAATCTAAAAATTCCCCCTAGTTCCCAGGTTTCATATGGTGCATCATACACTGACACTGGTGTTTTAAAAACAGTAACCACCAGTTAAGACTTCCCACTGTGTTCCATAACATCCTCTGCTGAAACAGCATTCACAGATGTCAGCAGCTCTCGTACAGACACAGCACTAAAGCAGTGGGTTTTGTTACATATAATCTGTGAACCCTTTGGCCAGCAGCACACACTCTGTATTTGTTAATTAATGTGTACAACAGACTTTAAAATGTACAATTACTGTTATTTTCCATAGTCCTCAAAGCCACAAAATTAAAGTCAGATGAAAAAGCAGCAATTCTCAAATGCTCTTACTGTTTTCCTTGGTATGTTTTAGTGCCTGGCCAGATTACAACCTCTGTGCTTATTTATAAACATGGTAGAACCACCTGTACTTGCATTATTCCATTATAAAGCTGCAGCAAAGCTGTAGCTTCTTAGCACAGAATCTCCATAGCATGCACACCCATAGGCCATACATGGGCACTGGGCATCAAAAGGGGTTTGAGAGAAATCTGTAGTGGAAGAAGGAGTTATACTTACTGATATATCTTCTCAAGACATTTTCTATCTGTTTTTGCTGGAATCTTCCTTTGATTACAAGCTGGTTGTTACCATCTATTGAGCCACTAATTTAAAAGAAAAATTAGTTCAGTATTTGATTTGCAGAAGATGCCAAGCATTAAAACCAGTCAGGAACATGAAGCAAGATAATGACGCATTCTTCTAGATAAAAGCCAGAATTACTTTGTGGAAAAGAGTGCAAAATTCTGAAGGTGCTTGAAAACCTACAGGTAGTTTTGCCCAAGCATAACCCTCACTACAGTAAACTCCACCAGGAATCAGGCTCAGTTACACTACCCCACCAGAAGAACTTTACAGAATTGAGAATCAACACCTGCTTATCTCACACAAGTGACCAAGACAACTCCCTAGTAAGGTGTAGTATGACTAGTAAGATCCTCTTCTAGCCATTCTGATGTATTAAGTTGATTGTTTTTCACATCATAGTTTCTAAGTTTTTGTTTAAGTTGTCTGGAGCTGAAGAGACTCCAAAGCCCAATCAAATGGGCATTTGTTATATACACACTGCAATTAAGACTCCTTGATCTCTGTGTCTACATATAGCAACACTGTAGTCTCTAACAGAGAAATGAAGAGACAACCAGAAAGCACACTAACACAGCACAAGATCTTTGATAAGAAACATATAAAACAACACTGATTCTACGCTAAGACAGGTGGATTTACCTGCAGCACTAGCCAGAATAACTAGCTAGAGGCCCACAAGACTCACCACGAGGCAGCCAGGCATTTCCTCTTCCCTAGCTGCCTATCATCTGTCTCAAGCTGATTTGAGCCACAGCACCATCCTCATCGACTGTGACAAACAGCTCTGCTGTCAGAGTATCTTTAAGAAAGGTTCCAAACAGGAAATCCAAACCCTTATCCAAACTGTTCCCTGGGATTTATAGTTTGCTTCAGTTCCTCTTCCCTAAGATGGCACCGCTTCAATCACCCATCACAGCATCTAAGTGCAGGGAAGAAGAGCCTGATGTTCAAGCGCATGTACACAGATGTAAACCCTAGAATTTTATTTTTGATCAGATGTCAACTATGCTGCCATCGCTTCCTACATGCATAAGCACAGAGATAGCCCAGCAGCCTTACCTTGTACCCAATTCTGCCAACAAAAATGCCAGAAGATGTTTTGGCTGACGATGTAATCTAAAAATAAGAGTAAGGATATGTTTAACCTCGCTCCTTCAGAGAAATCTGATCGTTATACAGGACTGGCAGGCTAACATGACCCTAAATTACTAAGTTTAAAAGGGGGCAGTGCCAGAGGGTATGCACCAAAGAGCAGGGCAGACAATGACTGAGGACACAAGAACACTGAAAGTCCACAAAGACACCCCACCACTTCCCCCAAACCAAACTCACAATTACAGTAATTACTGAAAAAAATAACTTTTCTATCTGAGATTTTCCATTCCTATTCTCCCATCCCCCCCTGCCATTCCCTGAAAAAAGTGTTACTAGTTACCATTAAAAATTCACTACCCAGATCCTCAGTATGATTTCATCAGGACTGGTTTCTGGCACACTTAAACTAATCAGATATGCTTTCCCAGAAGTGCCCACAAAGAATAGAACTACCTTCACAAGAAATAATTAAGACATAGAAAACACTGCAGAAGATCATGGGGGAAAAAAAAAATAATGAATTCCATACCATTTACCAAGAGAACAGTATTTGTAGCCAGGTCAAATTAGAAATTCCCCACACTCCCACCCCAAGACTTGCAAATAAGTATCACTGGTGACCCAACTACAGAGTTTATAGAAGCCAGTGAACTCACAAAATCAATAGGTTCAGTTTCAGTCCATGCAGCCCATGGAGCAAGCCTGCCATTTCCATAATTTAAGCATAACATAAGAAATTATCTCAATAAATCATCTCCATAAATATCTTCTTACAGAGAGATGTAGAGGAAGTGAGCAGTATGACTGGAATAGCTTTCAGTTTGTTCCTGGTTTGCCATAGTCCTTTACCAGGAAATATGCATCTAACACAACAGCCAACAGCACAGAAAAATGCATTCATCTGCTATTTCAGGGAAATCTTAAGAGTAAACTTACAATTTGCAGATATCTGTAAAGTTGACAAAAGATGTTTTCTTGGTCCCTACTCTTACAACCTGTGGAGGCTTCATGACAAATTTTCGTTTTTCTCCAGCTACCATATCTGGATTTTTTTCCCGCATGATGTTAAATACTCTATTGAGCAACTGTGAAAAAAAGGGATTCACATCTACATGAATATCTTGAATTTCTCAAGCAAAGTACATCACTTCTAAAAAGCCTGAAACAGTGTTCACAATGAATACTAGACTGTCTTTGCCCATCAGCATTTCCTCATATGCTTTTGAACACACACTTACATGTTCTGATAAATGCAAAATAAATTATTTCCTCAAAGGTTTACTTCATAATCTACAATACTTCAGTCTACCTGCAGAGGTGCTAATATTATCCTAAAATTACCCTATATGAAAGTTAACTGTGATAAAAGATGTGCTTTCTGTTATTTTTCTGTTTACAAGCTTCTGACTACAAGTCCCTTAAATTTAAGTTAGAAATAAGAACACAGGAGCATAAGGTCCTCCTCTACTGATGCACATCAACCTGGAAAAATATTTTTTAAAGTCTTTTGAACATTACCTCATCATACGTGTAGTCCCTTTCTGAGCCTGCCCATGCAGGTCCTGACTGAAGGCTAAAAGAAATTCCATCATCTTTTTTGCTATCTTCATCCTCAAAAGCTGTGAAGAAATTTGTTTGGGATTCATTAAGAAAAAAAAAAAGCATTCTTTAACCTCATGCTGACACCATTTCTAAAAAGTACCTCAAAGAACATTCCACTAAGATGCAAACACAAGTCTTCTCTGTCTGCTTACAAGGGACACCAGCACTTACGGCAAATTTATACAGTGCTTTTATAGGACATTTTTCTGATAAACAATGTAGTGGTAAAGGTAACAAAAGGAATTTTGAAACAAAAGTCACTTGAACAGAACTTATTCACCTACAACATGAGATACTTTTCACTTTCAATGTCTCATTGAGCTAGATTATCCTTTTACCTTCATCCTTCTCCATTATCTCATCTTCATCTGGAAACTTCACATTCTTCTTCTTTTTTTTTTTATTGCCCAGCATGATATCAAGGTCATCTTCAGGTTCTACTGCCTCTGGCACATCTCCTTCAATTTTCAAGTCCTGCAAAGAAATAAGACCATAGTTTACAGTATTAAATACAAACCTCCATTATACAGCATCAGAAATAGTAATACTAGTACACTATACTAGACGAATACTAGTAATATCCAACACAATCCTGAAATGTAACAGATAAAAATGGAACTAAAGTATGTTGAAGACAGCACTGCACTACACCATGAAGTAGGGCTAGATTGTTATATGAGAAGCATATACAATGATGTACATGCATCTAACAGTGCAGTCTTGTATTAAAACTTACTTTATACTATTTTCTTTGGAACAGTTGATTTTGTCTTAGGTAATTAATTCAGGCAAAAAATCTTCTGGTCTAAACTTCTGGCTGGTCAAGAACAAGGTCACACTATACTCACCTAAAGGAATCAGCCATTTTAGGGCAAAAGAGAACAGAACATGCTACCTGCCAGACAATAAGGTAAGGCAAAACTGTTCTATCTGCAGCCAGTCCAATTTTTTTAATCACAATTCTGCACATATGGAGCAAGCATTTTGCCTGTCTAGGGCAAATCAGAGGGACATCTTCTTTCCCAAGAGGCAGAATCTAAAGAAGAGGTTTACATGTGACACTTTGTCCTCTTGCTCTCTGGGCTTGCCAGTTACAGACATGTGATACAAAATCAAGACTTGGAATAAAACTTGAGAAGCATAAAAATATCTTCTACACCTTCTGGAACACAGAACAGTAGCCAATCATTTCGGAAGAAAACACCAGAATAAAACCAGATTTCTTAGCAGATATATACCCTTTATTTGAAGTGCTGGCCTTTAGAGGACTATTCTATGCATGGCTTCTAACATCCATTTACTTCTCTCACCCCAAAAGACAATTAACCTTGATACTAGCCAACCCCCACTACAGATTGCAGAACTACTTGTCCTTGTGCCAATCATCAATTTTTTTCTGTTCTGGGCAAAGTGCCCTGCAGAAGCAACATGTTCAGCAGAACCTACTATATATGAAAGATACAGTGAAACGTAAGTTTCATTATTAACTGCACTAAGACACAATGACAGACTCGAAACAACTACTGCACTGCCAATCCCCAGAAAATGAAAGGAAGAAAATTTTTCAGCTATAGACAAGATGCAGTGATGCAAACCTTTACACCTTCTTCTGCTTCATCTATATCAAATATCTTTTTTGTTTTTTTCTTCTTTTTCTTTTGATTGAAGAAGTTTAAATCATCCAGGTCATCTGTTGCATCTAAAAACCAAAGGATTGCCAAAAGAAGTGCAATAACTATAGAAGCAGTTTAGACATCAAGGTTTCTAATATACATCCAATTCTTCAAAACATTACAGTAAGACATAAGCAATTATCTATAGCCCCTACAGATATCCTTCAGGTTTTAAAGAAATCATTCCCCTCTACCCCCAAGTACCTCAGTACTATTTTACAGTTTCTGCATCTCCTAACTGCATTTACTTAAGTGCTTAATCTCTCTGCTGTACATATGAAACAAGCCACTTCTGTCATTATAGTAGAGATCCTTGAAAAAAAATTAAAAGAAAACTGTAGGAGAAAGGTATAGTTTCTTTGGTCTACTGCAGGAGCCAATTATATCAACAAACTGGATTTAAGCTCAGAGCATTCCCTGAATCAGGTCACCTTGAAATGACATTGGCTTCAATTTAAAAAGTAAGGTTATATTCACAATCACAAGCTTATTTCCTGAAGAATTCCAAAGAACACTGTAGTTATCACACTCACAGTTGTCCAAAAACTAGAAACCCTTTTAACCGTATTTGTTAGCACACTCTTGCTTAATTGTTCAAATGAAAACCAGCCATAATTGTGTTATTTTAACAACTGCATGTTGAAGACACAGAACTTTTTGTTAACTATTTAAGAGATTCTCTTTTCATCGTCTAACACAAAACACTCTGCATCAGGAACGTGGAATTTACATAAGCCACTGGTAGCTTGCTGGATGTCTGTGAACATAATTTCAAGCAGGAGGGAAATAAGCCCTCCAAACAGGCACCAGTCTATTTACTCACAAGCCTCTAACTCAAACCTGAGCCCCAGCATTACAGACTGTGATGCCAAATTCTTGAAATAGGGCTTGTAGGCTGAAAATACTGAAGAGAATACCTTTGAGAGTTTATCTACATGGATTCACTTTACCTTTCTTCCTGCTGTCTTCTTCGTCTGCTTCAACATCTTTGTCTTCTGTTGGCTCTGGTTCAACTTCTTTTGTTTCTGACTGCTGAGTCTCTTCTGCTTGTGTATCCCCTCCTTCTTCATCCAACATAAAGGGCTTCTTCTTTTTCTTCTTCTTCTTGCTCATAGTGGGATCGAAAATCATCTGTAAAAGTCAAGAATTCCTTAGGAATGTAATAATCACCTACCATTTAATACTTATAACACCTTTAAGTTTCTCTCAACATTCCTTCAATTACACAAACTGTTCCTTTGCTTCAATCTCAACTAGGGATTTTTCTAGATCTGTGACAATGTAATACAGTGATTTCCTAGGCTTCTTTAAAAACACAACAGATCTTGCCCGAAGGCATAATTGATGGGACCAATTGGAAGAGATTAGAACACTGCTTGACAGTTTAGAGCTTCTGCTACTTTTCCTGCCATAGTCCAACTTTCCTGCCATCTATGTATTAGTTCAGCTGAAAATATATTAAAGCCATGCATCTTTGGCAGCCTAGCTACCAGCTGCTTCTCCATTTTATTATCATTATGGATTCAAATTCTGAAGTAAGACTATGCAAAGCACTCACTGAACTACTCAGCACCAGAAAAAAATTTAAGCACACCTATACCAGAGAGCCTGATTACATGTCAGTTACACTTCGTACTTCCATATGAGATATTTTAATTTCCAGATTTATTAAAAGGTGAGATTTACCAACAGCTCTATTTACAAGAATGCTCTGGACTATAGAGAAACCCAGAAGGGGCTGGTAATACAGCAACTCTCAACACCGAAGGAGCAAAGGTCTCATCCTTTTCTCCCACAGGTGGGAGACAATCTTAAACACCAAGTGATTAAAAGCTGTTAATGAATTCTATTCTACTGCCAGTCAATAAGCTGAATTCACCTAGCCTGACTGTGAAGAAGGCACTAACCTCAGGACTCACTTTTAATCATCTACAGATGTGAGTTATTTTAACACATGAGCTCTTCAGTTTTCCAACACAGGAATGCTTCTTACTTTTTTCACTTAAGATGCAAGTTGGACATCACAGCTCTTGGTCAGTTTTGTTACATACATCTGGCCATAGTTTCACACTGTATTTAATACATCAAAATTTTAGACACTTAATGAGACTCTTTCTCCAGTTTTTCCTATCTAGTAATTGAAGAATGTTCTCACAAATAGTTAAAATTCCACATTATGAATACCCTCATCACTCACCACTTCATCAAAGGAGTTCTCCCAACTTCTTGTTTTATTAAACCCTGCAAGTTTGGCACTCTCCCTTCCCCCTGAAGTAATCTTTTCCTCACACTTCTCATTCTCCTACACGTGATATTTTTGTGATAGTCTTCCAACTTCGTGGAACATACATGTTTCATAAAAGCTCTATTGAAAGGCAACAAGCCACACATACGGGTGTCTGAAGCACAGCAACACACAAGTATCCACATACATGGGATGCTGAAGCTTAAGGCTTTCAAACTGCTGAAGGGTGTCTTTAGTTGTACACATGGCACTAGAACGATTTTCAGAAAAGCTCTTTCAGAGGGCTTCCCTCTAATGCTTCGACACACGTATGAATCATGCTCCTGTAATGTACAGTGATCAAAGAATGTGCACAACCGGTTACACTGTTTGCTGGCTTCCTCTTGTAACCTCCAGTCTGATGAAACAGAAAGAAAGCTGCCTGCATCCGCAGAAGTCCACAGCTTTGGGAACAAGCACATGAACACCATTTTCAAGATCATGACTCATTTCAATGAAGAAGCTTTGTAAGACTCTGAAGAGTTTTCTATCTTCTCACATTATTAAGCAGACAAGACTATGCTTAGATGAAATGCAGTAATTTCCAATAAAGAACCAGCCCACTTGCCCCAAATCACTCTTCTCTTTGTGAAGAAAAAAGATTTCTTTCATCCTGAACCACCATAAAGCACATTTTGTGTCTACAAGAGACAGAATGTATCTTCAGTGGTATCACACTGAACTGCACAAGGACAACTGGACAGAGGAGGCTGTTCAAGGCCAGCTACTTAGTTTTAACGCTAAAAAACAAAGCACTGCTCCATCTGGTCACGTCAAGCCAAACTTCTGCAAACCTAAGACTTAGTCATAACATGGTAACTACTCTCAGGAAGCTAATATCAAAGTTCCACAACCTGAGGAGATCTATGCCTGAAATATTTTGATCATCAAGGGCTTCAACAAAAACTAAGCAGGAGTCTTAGGTCCCATACATTTTAACAAATCACGAAATAAACCTGATAACCAGGCTGTTCTGTGTTTTCCCTTCTGAGCCAGACATTTCAGAAATTTCTTCATTCCTCTTCTTTGTTCAGTGTATTTGATTAGTCAAAGCATTATGACACCATTTAAGCACTGAAAAAATACAAAGTTGCAGGCCCTCTACTAAACCCCCAGCCCAAATACAGCAAACCCTATGTTTTTCCTGTGTATAAATGGTTATAATTTTCCATTCTGTTTCTGCTCTCAGAGCCAAATTCCCACACAGGGTTTTCTCTTCTGCAGACCACAGTTCTCTCACATGCAGCTCCAACTACCTACTCCTTATTTCAAAGGCCTACACAGTCAAAATCCCAACTTACAGAGAAAAAAAAAAAAAAGAGCAAGTGAAAGAATGGGGGGGGGAGAAAATTAAAAAAAAAAATTAAAGCCTTATAATCAAGAGGCAACTCTCAAGACAGAAGCCAACATTATTCTAAGCTGCTGTGACAGTGGCAAATGCTGGGGATTCTAAGAGAGGTCACAAATAAATTCCATTTCATTAGTCTGAATAAACACAGGCATGTCTACAAAGCAGACAGCAACTCGGTACTAATAAAGTTATAGTTCAGGTATCCTTACACTACACTGAGCTGGTGTCTACAATGGAGTGCAAAATTATCAAGACCAATTTGCACGTAAGCACTCTATCTGCTCAAAACACAGCACTCTCCAATATTATATACTGGTGCTTCATAAAACTACAGGGCTGGAAGAACTTTTAGATACTGAGTAAGATTACATATATATATAGCAGGATTTTTAACAGAGCAAATTGATGTTAACAGACTGCTTCCCCCTGCCATTAGGGCCTGTGTTGCCTCTGCTGTGCCACACTTTTGGGCACCATGTACTTGTTTCTACCAGGGAGTTTCATTTTGTATACAACTCTGAAAATTTTAAGCTACGGTCCAACGTGCCAAAACAAAGTTTTGTAACATCTATACAGGCTTAAGGTGCAAATTTGTCTTCATGTGTCTTCATCCTCCTCAACTTCATAGGATAGTCGACTTAAAAAAGTTTCACCAACTTAACGTCAAGAGCAAACTATACGACTTCTACCAACCAGACACAGAGAAGTTCTGGAAGGCACATGTGCTCACTCGCTCCCACACATACACCAGCCACAGTTCAACTGTGGTATCTGCCACCATTTTTATTCTATCGAGTCTGCTACACAGAGCAATCGAGAGATGTGACTTTACTACACCAGACATTTCTGATATCACCTCAGTGTCTGAACAAATGCATTACGCAAGAAAAATAATTTTAGTGACACTTCAACTGCATACAAATCGGAAAACTCCAGATGAACTGCTCTGTGACCACCTGAGACAGAAAGCAGAGAGGTAAATGAACTAAAGACTCCGTATCGCTAGTTCCGGAGCGTGAACACGATGGAGAAGGGGTGGCGGGGGGAAGCGGCCTCCCTCCCCGGCCCTGCCTCTGCCGGCGGAACACGGGGAGCTCCAGGCGAGCTCCGGGCCTTCCCCCAGCAACACGCGGGGCCAGACGGGACTCCGCAGCGCGCAGAGGCCGGGACGGCTCCCGGGGAAGGCGCCGGCCCCACAGCCGGACGGTCCGGCCTCCGCCCACCGCACCG